TCTTTTTAATGCGCTATGATTATTTATGATTATTTATGATTGTAATCCCTTGTGTGATTTTAATTTTTTACGGTTTTTAACTACTTGTGTGATTTTATATATCTTGTGCTCTTAATCTGTCTTTTTATGTTTACTTAAATTCTAATGTTTGATGATTTATGCATGATGTTATATGGGTTGTGAGGCGCTTTGCGTTGCCTTGTGTAGGAAAGGCGCTCTATAAATAAACGTTGATTGATTGATTGAAGCCAGTGCAGAGACCTGAGGACCGGACTAATATGGTCATACTTCCTGGTTCCTGTCAGGACTCTAGCTGCTGCATTTTGGATGTACTGCAGCTGCTTACAGGTCTGTTTGGACAGACCTGTAAGCAGGCCATTGCAGTAGTCTAGCCTGCTGGAGACAAATGCATGGACAAGAATCTCCAAGTCTGCTTTAGACACTATATTTCTAACTTTGGAAATGTTCTTCAGATGGTAAAAAGCTGTTGATGTTATTGATTTTATGTGGCTATTGAAATTTAGGTCCGAGTCCAGTATTACCCCCAAATTTCTGACCTTGTCTGAAGGAAGTAGGGAGAGAGACTGAAGTTGACAAATGACGCCCTCTCTTTGTTTCTGGGGACCAAAGACAATGATTTCGGTCTTGTCTGCATTTAGCTGAAGGAAATTATTTTGCATCCAGTCACTGATCTGTTGGATACAGTGAAGGAGCAAATCCAGTGGTCCATGTTCTCCTGCAGTCAGTGAGACATAGATCTGAGTGTCGTCGGCGTAATTGTGGTAGGACACTTTGTTTCTTTGTATTAACTGACCTAACGGCAGCATGTAGAGATTAAATAGGAGAGGTCCCAGGATCGACCCCTGTGGTACTCCACAGGTCAGGGCCACATGATCTGAGACGCAGTCTCCAATCTCCACAAAGTACTTCCTATCCTCCAGGTAAGACCTAAATCAGTCTAGGGCTGTGCGAGTGACACCAACCCAGTCCTCCAGTCTCTGCATGAGGATCTCATGGTCGACAGTGTCGAACGCGGCACTAAGATCTAACATGACCAAAACTGTGACTTTACCTGCATCAGTGTGAAGTCGAATGTCGTTTGTTACCTTCACTAGAACGGTCTCAGTGCTGTGGTGGGGTCTAAACCCAGACTGGAACATATCAAAAGAATTATTCATTGTTAAAAATTCAGTAAGTTGTTGGGAGGCCACTTTTTCAAGAATTTTTCCAATGAATGGCAGATTCGATATGGGGCGATAATTTTGAAGTCCCGCAGGATCCAGACTGCTCTTTTTTAGGAGAGGTCTTATGACTGCTGTTTTTAGGGCCATAGGAAATGTTCCTGACGACAGAGACATGTTTACTATTTGTGTCAGTGAAGGTAACAAACTGCTCAGGACGGACTTCAGAAATTTAGAGGGCAATATATCCAGGCTACATGTGGAGGAGCTCAGACTCATGATTATCTTTTTGACAGTTTCAGTATCCACAGGTGCAAAGTGAGTTAGCTCAAAAAGCTTCTCTGGCTGTTGCATTGTTATACGTGCTGTGGAGGTGATAGTGTTTTTGATTCCTTGTACTTTGTCATCGAAAAACTGTGCGAACTCATTACACCTAGATTTAGAGGAAAATTCTAGGGGCAACTTTACAGGGGGGTTCGTTAATCTACCAACTGTTGAAAACATAACACGAAAGTTGTTACTGCAACCTCCAATAATGTCAGAAAAATACATTTCTCTTGTTCTACGTAGAACCCGGTTAAATTCACCCAACTCATCTTTAAAGATTTCATAATCGCCCTGGAAATTGGACTTTCGCCACTTCCGTTCGGCCCTCCGGCACTCTTGCTTCTGTGCCCTGACCGAGTCTGCCTTAGTCCATGGGGCCTTTTTCCTACTGGTAACTGTTTTAACCGTCACAGGAGCAATGGCGTCCAGAACAGTCAGAACACTGGTGGTGACAGAGTTATACAATTCATCAACAATAGAGCATGGAGTTTTCTCAAAATTTAGCATTCCCATGAACAGTTCACTTGTGTTTTCATGTATGTGTCTTCTTCTAACAATTGTAAATTCAGCTGGTGGTTTGCTAGCAAAACACATGTCAAAAAATACACAGAAATGATCTGACAAAGCAACATCAACTACATTAACATTTGATACATTAACCCCCTTTGTAATTAGCAGGTCAAGAGTGTGCCCCCTGCTGTGGGTGGGGCCACTTACGTGCTGAATGAAACCAAAGGTCTCAAATACAGAAGCCAGCTCCTTTGCATTTCTGTCATCAAAATTATCAACATGTACATTAAAATCACCTGTAATAACTAAACTATCAAAATCTGTGCACACGAATGAAAGTAGTTCAGTAAAATGGTCAATAAAATCGCAACATGACTGTGGTGGCCTGTACAGGACAATGAAAAGAGTAGAAGATCGCTTTTGTTCCATTTTAAAAGAAATATACTCAAACGATGAAAAATTTCCAAGGGGCATTCTATGGGAGACAAAGTGCTCTCTAAAAACTGCAGCTATGCCTCCCCCCCTTTTGTTTTCTCGTATTTTGGATTCGAATTTAAAATTGGGTGGTGTTGCTTCTATTAGAACTGCATTTCCTGTATTTTGGTCCAGCCATGTTTCAGCCATAAGCATAAAATCAAGATCATAAGAAGTGATAAAATTATTAATTAAAAATGATTTGTTACATAGAGATCTGACATTAAGCATAGCAAGTTTAAAAATAACGTCAGAGTCGATTAATGTGGTTGATTGATTTCTACAGGGAACAGAAATTAGATTTGCAGAGTTGGACCGTCTAACTGCTGTCCTGTTTTGATTTCGTTTTTTAGAATTTAAAAACATTTTTGAGCTGGTGCGAGGAACACACACAGTCTCAATTGGCCTAAAATGTGAAAACCCTTGTTGTTGTTCTTTAGCTCCCAGAGTCGGAAGGGAGTCAGCACAGTTCAGTGTTTGGACTGGTAATGCACTGCCAGACGGACAGGGAGCAGTGTTTGCACCGTTGTACTCACCCGGTGCTGGTGAGCAGGAGGCGGGGGAGTGCGGTGGGGTCCGAGGGGGCTCAGATGTAAACAACTTTGTGCACTAATAGATGGTTAGCAGATTGGTTATAGTTAGAAACACATAAATCAATCCAAGGCACCATGTACAGTAGTTATAGACTCACTTTCTTTTGAACCACTTACAGTTGTCGCTCTCCTCATTTTTTGTCGTGAGTTTCTCTCTGTGGGAAAAAAGGTTGGAGACCTGTACCGTGATGTCATCTGTACTCCTTTTGAGCAGTACCTGTCTGCTCAAATAAACAAATAAATAAATAAATAAATAAATAATGACTACTATGATTACTGTTTATTCATTCACAGCTGCCTCGCTCCTAAATTAAATATTGGGTTAGATTACGGGCACGCTCACGCTTGTGAGTCTGGGTCACTTTAACTGGGAAATTAATCAATCAGACAAATTTATGAATTTATTTGTGAAATGCACTACATGCCAACTAAAAATTATTCAATTTAATTTATAAACAGTGCATATGAAACATATTGTAAAAAAAACTTCACTGGGACAATAATACTTGATAATACTTAATAATCAAGGTATAGGAGGATTTCTACTTCTGGGTGGATCATCAAGACTATTGATGACATGTGCTCGTCCAATAAGACCAGAGAGTTTTGTTCAAAACGTGGAGAGGGCTGCTCTTTCCTAAAATTTAGGAACATCCTCTTTTATATCTTTCATAATACAAAAACCCTGACCAAGTGACCGCCACTTGTTACAGTTTCCATGTAGGGTTTTCCACAAGTGAACCAGACTTGATCCAGACTCAAGTATTTGAAAGTTAGATATTTATTTTAGAACTGTTCACCCTCAAACAGAATGTCGGTTACTTTTCAAAGTGTGAAAAGTGAAGAAAGACAAATTTTAAGCGCAAGCCTCTGTTAGACCCGCCCATTCTCACCTTGACAACTTCCTGATTGGACGATATCAACTTAAATTGTTTCCATTGGTCGAACTATCCTCCATTACTTCTCTCTTTCTGGTCGTGGCTTTGTCAAGAGGAGAAACTGTTTGAAGTATTTTACTTAAAAAAAGCATGATTTACGTGATAGCACTGGGTCATATGGCCAAAAATATGTATTATTTTAAAAACAAAAGTTGCAGACTTCACTTTTAAATAAGATTTCCCAACTAGCACTAAATGCTCTGCTTTTTGTTTGAACAAGACAAGCACATTATCAAAAGAATGAGAAAACATATGACTGAATAAAGCTGCTTTTTCTGTTGGTAATCATTTATTGGTAAAACTGGTCGAAATATCAAGAAAATTAGGGAAAATAACTCAATGATGTCTTGATATTTTGGCAGTATTTCTGCTCAGATGTCAGAATAATTTCCCTTAAATCAAGTCAAGTAGAAACGTGACAAATTTTTTGACATTTCAGTAGTCTGTAAAGGACAACATTAATTGCAGCTTTTGGCCTTTGCTGATTGTGAACACAGTAATTGTGATTTCGATTAAACATAATGTATTTACCCTTTTAGTTCTGTCCTGGTGAGAGGAAGCTGGATCAATTTAAGCCTTTTCATCTCATCTCTTTTTTTTCTGTATCTCTATATAGTTTATTTCTGTCATTATTTTAAATAAATAATTGTATTATTTTTTTAAACATGAGTGGGTCTATCTTAGGGAGAGTGAGTCCTGGTTACTATAGCAACACATCATTTACCGTCAGTAGTTAGCTTTTGGTCTTTAGCATTTAACCTTTCAACAAACTGTTATAGCACTTAGTAGAAGTGAGTTTTAATAAATCTGGTGAAAAACTGAACATTTTGGTGGAAAGTTCTCAGGATTCCATTGGTTTGAAGAAGAGCAGTCAAAATGACGGCTCTGGGAGTTCTAGCCGTTGCATACTGTGCAGGTTTGAAAGGAAGTTAAATGAGTTTTTTTAATGATTATTTTGTGTTGTTTTTTTTCTGCAGATATAGTCTTTTGCGTCATTCAAAGGAGCGGCAGACAGTGGATGGCCTCAACAACCTGAACTACTCCCCCCTAGTGTCCAGGAGGCCTTTGTTCACCCACATCACCGTGAGCTTGAGCAGAAAACTGGCTCCGGTCGCTGACTATTGACCCGCACTGAGCTGGACTCCACAGATTCTAGCCCTCACTGGGACGTCCCCCGGGACAGCAGCCATATTGTCATCATAGTCGCAGCACTGTTAAGGAAATTTCTGTTTATTTTTTATGTTTTGTATGCAAAAAATGATGACCAAAACAAGTATGTTTGGGAAATCAAACAAAAAACATGGATCAATGTTGCGCCAGCCTGTGCCATTGTCCATCACTCCACTCATCTGGGCTTCTTGTAGTCTTCACATGCCTTTTCAGACCATTTTGGCCTTCAGCATCGATTTCCCACAATCCTCAGCTCTGTCTTTGCTCAAAATAACATAGGCCCTTCATACGTACGTACATACACATACACTGGGCTGACGTTGTCCTGAGGATTTGCTCTGCTCTTGCACTTCTTATTTTCACAAAGTAAAATATAGTAATTTGCATGCAGGCGTACAATACACAGGTGAAAGCGCGGACTCCTGCAGCTGGTTCTGCAGTCGGTATGCCAAAATATACAAGACAAGGAAGAGAGTGACTGTTTTTTTATATAGTTAATATATTCACCGTTCCATATAATTACTGTGATGTCTTTGTGTCTGCATATAGGAACAGTGGAAGTTTGGGCTTGCGTATGCGACTGTATCAACGTTAGCAATAATAACAATAATAAATAGGCTGTTATGTACCAGACAGCTCCAAACTTAGACTTATTCACTGTACTCAGATGCAATAGCTGGGTGCTAGCTTAGCCACTGGACTTCAGAAGGAGCGACAGTGTATGCAAAGGTTTCCACTGAACTCACGTTTGCCTAACAAACATAAACGTCCTCTCACAACAAGTGTGCATGTGTGTGCGCGGACAGGGGAGCTATATGCAAAGCACTAGCACTGACGATAGCTTTGGGTTTGTGTGAGCGTATGTGTGTGTGTGTGTTTGTTTGTGTGTGTGTGTGCATCTATACATGACTCTCAGATTGTTCAGTCTATACACTACCCTTGCAATTGTAAGTTACAAGAAGTCACAAACTAGGAATTTGCTTTTGTATATGCTGCAAAAAACCATCAAGAAGAAAACGTTAAAAACATAGAAATATTGTTAATCAAAAGCGCTCTCTCTACTGTTTTTGAGCATCTTTGACTAACAGTGGATGCTGTTTCAGTTGCAAGGCACTTAAAAACCAATGAATGGATCGTAATTCATGTTAAGGAATTGGATTTGGCTTTTCAGAGCTTAATTTTTTTTTTTTTTAATGTGTGGCAGTAACTTTGTCAGTCAATCCCTGCTCAAAATTCCATTCAAAATTGCTCATTCAATCGTAGACATTTTGCTGAATACCTTGTTCATAGTGTGTTGATAGAGAAGTATGCTGCCTCTTCAACTCAGCTATGGATAGAGTGTAATTTGAATTTTATATATATATATTTTTTCTAAATATTTCTCAGTCTATTCACTACAGAATCACTACTTCAGAATCTGAATGATTTATCTCAACATAAACAATCCATGTAGTTTGTCTCAACAGAAAGTGTCCTGTAAAAGTAAAATGTTGTGAATACATCAGACCACAAGAACCTGTCTTCATGATATTTAAAAACATATTATCTTTTGTATACCTGTAAGTAAGAGCCCTGTGAGTCACTATTTGACGATTTGGGCATTGAGCTGATTGGCTGAGGGAGGTTAGTCATCTCTTTTTCATTTTTTGTTCTGCAAAAGCGAGGCCAAAGATAGATCTGTGAGAGAAGCAAGAGATTTTGAGAGTGAGGAGCTAGGGTAATGAAATCTCTTAAATTTTTGTAGTTTGAAAATTAGGTTATCTTGTCTTTAGTTGTAAGAAAAAGCCTGTGAGTCACTATTTGACGCTTTGGTCTGAGAGGGTGGTCTAAATATTTGACTGAATCCAAAACTACATGTATGTGAAAACTAGATACACAAAAAAAACCTTTTAAACCAACTGTTTTAGAGCAAGGGACAAGTTATATGGATTTTACTACAGTTACATTTTTGGCATGTTGAAAGTTGGGTACCTCAGCTTTAACACACATCAGTTGAACAGTGTAGAAATTAAGTAAATACATTGTGAAAGTTGCAGAGAAAGTTGGACCAACTTTGGACCAACTTTACAGCATAGACGAGTTTTGACTCCCATCCAGGCTCCATCGTCAGATCTGAGAACTGGACTAAAAGCTAAAGAGAGTTTAGTTTTCCCCAGAGAGAGGATTCAACAGCATCTGTAATGGATCTCTCCTGAACAAATGAGGAATTACACCACTTTAATGGGACAATAGTTGTTTAATAGCCAGCTGTGTGTTATTCCTTCATTATCCCACGAACTATAGAGGAGCAGATGAAAGATTGTGAGTTCGAGTTTCTTGGATTTGGAATTTGGTCCTGAACATTTTCAATATTAGATCCAAAGACTTGTCATCCATGAAGCTGAAAAAACAAAATAAAGTCATTGGAGATCATTCTAGGTGTGGTAAAAGTAAGAGTTTGGATCCTTCATATGAAAGAGATGATGCCCTAGTGAGTTCTCAGCAACGCCAACATTTCGAGAAGACCAAGAAGAACAAAGCAACTGTTTTTGATGATAGAATAATTAGCTCCTTTGTGTTTTTTTACGCTCAAATTCCAGCTGTTTAAACACATGTTGTGTAATTTCGAATCCATTGTGGCGGTGTATGGTTATAGTTTAGTTTATTAAGATCCCCATGAGCCGGAGAAGCAGTGGCTATTCTTCCCGAGGTCTTCTCAAAGTCATCACATGCACTTAGATATACATTTCAATATAATACGCACATGACATTCAATGGAAAAACATTTGCAAAGAATATAGAAAATAAAAACAAAGCACATAAGAAAACATACATACCTATAGGCGTACACTAACAGTCGTAACATCATCCAAAACATAGGATTTGTGTTGTTTTTCATGGTAAAAAATGGAGAACTCACTCGAAAGTGGTGTATACTGAGCAATATGAGACTTGTGTAGATGTCTGTGTATTTATGGACCTGTGTCTGTGTGTGTAAATGTGTGTGAGTGTTTGTGTGTGTGTGTGTATGTACAGACCACATTGAACAAGAATCTGGAGACTAATACTTGATCGGTCATTGTCACTGGTGTTGTACCAAAGCTGTTTTGAAGCCGGGGTTTTTTTCCCATTAATCTTGTGTTGAGAAAATGGTCGGTCGGGCCTCGTTTTTAACTGCAGCAGTGAAACGTGCTCTCGGAAACACTAGTATGTGTCAGTGAAATCGATTACAGTGGAAAAGTGGAATTATTTCACCTGGTTTTCTCATGGAAATGTCTCATGATCTGACCACATTTTCAAATAAGTCTCATTGAAGATTTGGGCGTTGGGCGGCCATGCAGCATATCCAACCATCTTCTAATTAGTAAACTGGAAATTGCATATTGATTCGGCACCAGGTGGGGGGCAGAAGGAGAAGTCACGCTGACTGGTAGTAATGGGCGACTCTATCAAAAAACATTTAAAATTCCATACTGACAGAAAAGTATAGATTCTCATTCAAAAACATGTATATTCGAAATTAGGGGCCGATTTGTCTCCATCTTAAATAATCACGTACGTCATAAATTCTCTATAGAAAACAACCAACCTGAGATCTATTGTCAATATTTCAAATAAGTAATGTAAGTAAATAATGTGTACCAAAGCTAATTATTCATATACATAGAAATAAATGTTTATTGATGGGGCTTTCTATGATTAGCATTAGCCATAGATGCTATACAGTATGGCATATGGCAGTCTCTTACAAATTGTTTAAAAAAAAAAAAACGGCGAATATCAAAATTTCCTACAAAATCACTCATTCAATCTTGATTATTTTACCATATTTTATCAGAGTGTGTGAATAGAGAAATCTGCTGCCTCTGTGACTCGACTATGGATAGAGCTGAAGAAAATGGAAAATGGGATTAAAACCTAGTATCTCCCATCACTACCGTCTGATTGGTCGATGCTCTCCTGCCTTGCCGACAATCACAATAGTGTCTCTTTGCATGTTTACGGAAACAACAGAAATAATTCCACTTTTAGGATAATCTGTGGAGGTCTTTAGAACACAGACGGGTGAAATTCCAATATTAACGTTTTTACAAGACATCGGGTGATCGACCACTAATTCGCCTGTTAGCTTGTTAGCGTCTCCATGTTCTACTTTTGAAACGGCATGCATTGGACTAACAGCAGTGGACAATGTCTTTTAATTTGTGTTTACAGTGTTGATTTTATAGTAATTTAGTAACCACTTTTTGAAAACGTAATTCAATGTTTTGTAATCCCCCCACACATGACCCCCATCCATGTGTCTTTTGTCATGCAGCTAAACTTCACACAAATCGCCTTGTGCACATTTATGAGATGTGTCTTTTGGGGGAAATATGTGGCTAATTGTTGATGTTACCACAAATGAAATAACCAGGGGCTGGACCTCGTTTTTTTTTTATTTATTTGATCTTTTAAGAATGATTTTGTGTAATTGTTGAGTTCTATTTTCTTGCGGTTGATGTGATGATGAAGTAGGCGGCTCACATGACGGACTGTGTTAGATGCACTGATACCTGTAGTTCCTAATATGTATTTATGTGGGCTTGTGGGGCTACAGGAAGTGGTCCGTCTTAATCACATGTGTAAAATATATATATATAATTTTAACAGTAATATAATACCCGCTGTGGTTGCCAGAATGTTTTGCCTGTATAAAACTGTATTGAGTCTTTACAATGTACTTTTTTTCTGGCAACCACAGCTATACTCATGATATTACAATTTCATTATTTTACATAGTGATAAAATGGACCTACCCTTGTGCCCTGACATGTATTATATTGTATAAAGCCATTTTGAGTGACAACCACAGGAAAAGCAAGATGCCTGAATTAGCGCTCTGGGTCTCGGTTTGTCTCCCAGCACCTCGTGGACTAATTGATAATCAATGGTGCTGATTTTCCAGATTAACCTTTTGCATAGGTTTCTATGTG